TGTGTGTGTGTTAAGGTGCACCCTCACTCAGCTGACACCAAGGCAGAAAGCAAGGCATTTCAAACAATGCTGCCTTTTATGCAGTTTTTCCATCCCTCCCCCAGAGCACGGGGATTGGAAGAGACCTTAGGAAACTTTAGTCACTGGCCAGCTACAGGGTCAGTAATAAGCAGTCCTTCCCCCTGCTTCTCCCCTCTTCCCCCTCCCTCTCCTTTAGTTTCTGTTTTGCTTTAGGCAAGCCCAGTGTGAGCTTCGAAACTCCAGAACATTTAGAAAATGTCAAAACATTTTGACTTGCCTTGTTTCATTTTGAGGCTGTTTTGAATCTCTCCAGTTCATTTCAATTTTGCTGTTTCGAGCTTGAAACGAGTTGAAACGAAACTGTCGGTGAAATTTCGCACAGCCCTATTACTTAATAGTTACCAGGCTTTCTTGTTGCTGTGTACTCTCTCTTTAGAAAGGAGACCATTATTTAGAATTAGCTATTTGAATCTCAGTCCTGGATATATGTCTGAATATTGTCTGTAATTGTTTTTCTGGCATTTGTGCAAAAAAGCCTTGAATTCTGACCTTTGATCTCCATACCCACAACTTCTTCATGAAGCTTTCTGTGAGCCCATGCACATTTGATTATTCTGAATAGTGGAAGATTATGATTACACTTGTAATAGCTTCAAGAGGATATCATTAGAAAATTTCAGTTTTCAAACTCATACCACTGAGTCATAGTTTTAGCCTGTTTGTGGAAAAGTAGTAGGAAGTTCTCTTATTTTTAATTAAACGACATACTGTTTTTGATACTCAGAGATTTTACCTGTTGATCTACTAATCTTCCTGAACCTCGCCAGCATTGTACACAGCTAGTAGTCAGCTCTGCAACGGCCATAACAAGGCAAAAAGTGAATCGGATGTATGGCAGTTATCCAACAGTCCATACCTCATCATATGCTCTTAATGTTGCTGTTCACACAACATGTGCCAGCAATCACATGGACAGTGACCTGAGTAGGAAAGCAAATGTCAAGTAGCCGAGTTTTTTAAATTGTGCGGTGTTGTTCTGACTCGCTTTTTTAAAATGCATAAAGGAGAAGGAGAGATGCACAAGTCAAGTCTAGTCCAAATTCATTTCTAAAACAAAAATAGATAAATTAAGGAGGGAAAAGTAGGGGTTACAATACCTAAAATATTTCCTGTGAGAGAGAATGTGTACTGAATCAAAACATAATCTAAGATCTCTCTAGTTTTAAAGGCTAGCATTTAGAATCCTAAAAAATTAGGATTGGAAGAACCTCAGGAGCTCATCTAGTCCAACCCCCTGCTTAAAGCAGGACCACCCCCAGCCAAGGCTTTGTCTAGCTTCATCTTAAAAACTTCCAAGGATGGAGATTCTATACCTCCTCTCTGGGTAACCTGTTCCAATGCTTTATTACCTTCCTTGTAAGAGAATTTTTTTCCTTATCCTAACTAAACTTCCCTTGCTGCAACTTGAGACCATTGCTCTTTGTTCTCCGTGTTCTGTCATCTGCCACTACTGAGAACAGCGATGTATACTTACTTAAATTACAAAAAAGAAAGTGACCTTTTGCTGCTCCTCACATTTTTGTATGCAGTTACCAAAATATCAAGATACCATTATTAGGAGTAATAGTTGATCAATACATGTGCTGACCAAAACAAGGTCTGTGGTCATGTATGCGACTAAAGCAGGAATGGAGGTTCTTTTCTCTTCTCTTAGGGTTCTTTTGAATTTTGTTTGTTGGGGGAAAAGTTTTAATTGTAATTTTTTGAAGGGGAGGAGTGACAGCTGCAGCACCTCTGTACAAGAGGTGGTAAAGGCATAGAGGGCATGTTGGGGAAGGGAGAGGAGCCTTTGTGGGTTGAGGTAGGGTTGGGCGGGAAGAGGAGGTAGGAAAAGGTTTCTTGTATCTGGATGGGAGTGGTGGTTGGCACGTATGTTTGGAACTGGTCGGAGGGTTTGCTTGTGTTAAGGTTTGGGTAGGGAAGTGGTGGTTGGAGAGAGAGCATAGTTGAAGTTCTTGGGTTTTGGGGTAGTGTTTGAGGAATCCTATCTGTGGTTTGTGTGTGTTTGTTGTAAGCTGCTTTGAGCTTTTTGGGTAGGTTGGGACATTGATGTAAAAATTAAATATGTCCAGTGTGATTCAGTGATTGATTAGAAAAAGAACCTAGGTGTCTGGTTTCCATGTTGTAGGTACTGGACCAAGCTTGTCTCTCTATCTTGATTTATGAAAGCACTTAAATCCTTAACTTTACATTTCTTCCAATTCTTAAGCATATACTTGTGTTTCCTAAATAGGAATGCTGCTTCTGAATCAAGGACTTGGTGGATCCAGGA